CCGCGTGCGCGCCGCTCACGTGCTCGCACACGCGCGTTATTCCTTTGTTTTTAGCGGCCGGACTCTCGAGGAACCAATTAACTTACGAGTTGACTACACCATTACACCGCGATGATAAACAATTACAAATTCAACCTACCCTTTGTTTTTAATGATTTGTTTTCTATTGAGTCATATTTAAGATATCGCTTTAGCACATGCTAGTCTCATTATCAGACGGGCAGTGAGCAGACATCGGAGTAGAGCGGGGCTAGCGCGGGGAGGGAGCGGCCCTGACCCGCTCCCGCATTGTACCGCTGCCTCACATCATAACTATATAACCAAAGACATCTTATAATCTTCTCCATATATCAGGCGGAAGCAAATTAATAAAAACATGTTCATTCTTTGTGTACTTCAACAGAGATGCGTGTTGACATTACTCACCGCGTAACTTTTATACACCGTCCACAAAGCGGCTGTTAGCTGAAGTGATGACGGCAAGATAGTCATTAAGAACGCTTGCTACGAGCTGCTGCAATATCGGCCGCAGCTCTTCACATTCAAACATAACAAGCGGTAGTAGATCGGCCCAGAACAAACACACGCCGGCTTACTTTGCTCAGTTATTGGCAGTGTTGGTTTACGCACCTCGTCAAAGTTGTCGACCATGAAGCAGATGTGCGGATAGGTCATCTCCTCGCCCTCGCCCTTCGTGTCCATCTTTCGCCGGCTGGGCGACGCGTACACCTGCATACAAACACGTACACTTAACATACTCTATTGTTATAATGCGCCGTTTCCTCATAAACCAATAAACCACAGACGAAATAAGCGGAGCGTCTGTCCGAAACCGATGTCATTTAAAATGAATACACCCGTCAGGGCTCTGACCGAACAGAACTTTGACCCGTGGCAAATCGGATCATTGAGACTTGTGAACACACACATATTACGAATCAATATTCTATTTCTGGTCGGACATTGAAATATATTCATCGTTTACACGTTAATGTTACTTTACGTTTTATCTTAATCGCCCAAAAATAATAAATATCGTTAATATGAAATCGCATAAAATGTATTGCAACGTTCGGAATGGTGGCGCGGTGGTGAGTGGTGACAGCAGCCGTCGTGTTGCAATTAAGAGATGACGCACAAATACAAAACAAAACGTCCACAATTTACAAACATTAGCACAAGTCCGTGCACCGCTATTAGCAGTCCAAGTGCTGTCTTTGAGAACATAGCTTTAGTTTAGGCTTACATAAATGAGAAAAGGCGAACATATGTATGAGTATTGAAATAATCCCAAGTAGGGTTGGCGACAGGCAGGCGGCTGGCCGCAAAAATAGTGCCGAAACTAAAAGTAGGTTTTTGATACCCGAAAAAAGAAAGATGATGATGATGATGTAAGTTTAGGATTTAAGATTAGGGTGGTCGAGACGAGCCAACAGCCCGCCGAGCGGGACACGAGTCGGCCATCAGGCAGCACAACGGACCGCCCGGCGCGGCGCCCTTCCTTACCTAATTGCTAATTGGATGTCTGACAAGCGAGGATTCGCCTTCTAGAAAAAAAATAATGTAATTAAAAGGATCGGAAGCCTGACAAAAGACGTCGCGTTGCTGTATGCCAGCATTACGTTAAGGCTGAAAACGAGCATTGTAATGTATTTGGCACTAAATAATAAACACATCCTAGTATGTAAATCGCTTCATACAATGCGCGGTGCAAGTTCGTTATTAAACACGAGATTCGACTTTATTGACTAATTCAATGTGAGTGGTCTCGGTCGGTCTCGCTGTCGCCGTTGGGTCGCGTCGACTCGACGTAAGCGGTCGCGTGGTGTAGGGTCGGCTCGCGGGCGCGGGGCGCGCGGGTGCGGCCGCACCGGGCGCAGGCGGGACGGCGTCGCTGACGTCACGCACTTCTCGCTCGCACCCGCGCGCCGCCGAACCGAGCGTGCGCGGTTCTAGCCGATCGCTCCCGAACGCCGTCGACCGTAGCCAACCGGTGCCCCGCCAGTTTCTAGTTCGCGGCCGCCGCTTTGCGGGTTCGCTCGTTTAATACACATCAATTAAAATAAATTAATATCAAAATCTAACGACGCACAGTGCTGTGGTAAAGTGAAGGAACATTGAGCTGTGTTAAGGTGCGTTGCGAATATCACAACGCAAAGTGGTGCGTGACCTCGTTTTGGCGACTTCGAAACTTAGCAGCTCGTATCGTCGGCGCTCCGGCTTTCTATCGGGCGTCGGGACGAATCGATGTGAGGCCGCGTACGGCCCGAATGACAGCTTGCACATTGATCGGGTGAGTGTGAATTGCAAACGGGACCGCTTCCGTGCGCTTTCTACATCGAACGTAGAATCAAATAATGAATTTTGGCGAGTAAGACTCTCGCGGAGACTATATTTGTATATTATTATGGTTAGACCTAAAAACACGGCATATGAATAAGTAAATTATTATTAAGGCACATAAACGAGCGCCAAAAAGCGGTGCAGCGCCACACGTTCTGTCCGCTGTCGGTCTTTGAACCGAGGGCTTTCTCGCTCGTTTGTTTACTGCTCTGAGAGGTGTGGAAGCGTTGCTACGACGCGAGTATTTACTACCTAAACAGACTACTGAAGTTAATCTTATATTATTAAACAATATAACAAATGCAAATTGTACTAATGTCATTCTTTTAGCTCCTAATAATGACATAACTGCGATTTATAAACGCTATTAAATAACACATTATAGTAAATGTTAACAGCTATTTAGCTCGGCGACTATTTATTATTGGATAGTTACATATGAAATAAATGATTATTGTACGTTTTGTACTCGTTATTTAATAACGACTCGTTTACATTCCAGGCTCGATCCAGACCAATGGTGATTGGATGACGATCTCGGCCCGCTCTCCAGACAAGGAGTCTTCGCCACCGGAGCAAATCAACCTCGCCGAGCCGCTGGTGGAGTCAGTGCGCATTTATCTCGCCCATGAGCTTCCGCCAAAGCAGTTAGCGCCGACGGGCGCTCCGCCCACCGCCTGCCATGCGGACATAGGCAACGACACAGCGCGCGACGACATCCGCGGAATCAACTTCGAGCCCCGTCTGCAGCGCAACGGCAATGACGTGAACAACAACGCGTCGCGCCGAGCCATGCCCAGCCAAGCCGAGCTGATGCAGCGCCAACCGCTGCTGGCGCGCGCCGCTAAGCCAGACGCGCCGCAGCCCACCACCGATGACTCCGACCCTGACCAGGATCATTCGCCGCAGCGTACTCACGCCACCGATTTTGTTGTTGAAATTCCGCCCGGCGCTGTACGCGAGGAACGCTACCCGAAGGAGATATGGAAGACGATAATCTCCTTCTTTTTCCTCTTTATGTGTGTCTGCATTAATATGATGTCATTGTCTCTCGTCCACGAGCGACTCCCCGATAGAAATACCACCGCGCCCCTCGGGGACATCATCCTCGACAACATAACCGCGAGAGATTGGGGCCTGGCCGTGTCAGAATATCTCATCATGATATCGACGACGGTCGCGATGATGGTGGTCGTATTCCACAAGCACCGGTTCATCGTGGCACGCCGCATGTTCTTCATAATCGGCTTGCTGTACCTGTACCGCTCGGTCACCATGTTCGTGACCGTCCTGCCGGTCTCCAGCACGACCTACTACTGCAGCCCAAAGAGCAATAACACGACGCCGCTGCTCGTTATTAGAAGAATGTTTTACCTCATATCCGGCTTCGGATTATCTATTAATGGGAAGCACACGTACTGTGGGGATTACATATACTCGGGGCACACAATGGTGCTAGTATTGAGTTATTTAATAGTAGCAGAATACTCGCCGAAGAAATTGTGGCCTGTGCATTGGGCCATGTGGGGCTCGGCAATTCTCGGTGTCTCGTTTGTTTTGCTAGCGCACGGCCACTATACCGTGGACGTGGTGATCGCGTACTACGTTACGACGCGGCTGTTCTGGACGTTTCACTCGATGCTGGTGACACCGTACCGGAGCGGTGGCTACAACCAATACATGATACAGCGCGAGTGGTGGTACTGGCTGTTCACGTACCTGGAGAGGAACGTGCGCGGCCCGGTGCCTCGCCGGTACGACTGGCCGCTGCCGTGGCCGCGCACCAAGCTCTTCAGCCGACTTAGCTAGTGACGCGCTCGCGCCGCGCCGCCGCCGGAGCGGGTATGACCCTCACCTTTTGCGAATGACGCTTCAGCACCTGCAGCTCCTTCGGGCTGGTGCGCGTGCAGATCGCCAACGTGAGCGTGTAGTCGAACTGGTGCACGATCAGGTTGAGGTAGACGGTTTCTTCCCAGTCGATCTCCGGATCTCCGATGGGCAGTTTCTTCGAGTCCTTGCGGAACACCTCGACATCCGTCTGTGGAGGGGCGGCGTGACTTAGACTGGTGCATTGCGTGTCTATTGGCTGTGCTTATTATTGACTTTTCGGTTCTAAATGAGGGCCTATGTGTAAATTGTGATAACAGTGCAAACTCGCTCGTGATCAACTCTTCTATCAATTTATGCTTTCGTTCTTATAGATCAGTAACATTATTCTACGAAGCGTAAAGCTATACATTATTATTACTGACTGTTAATGAATTTTGTGTTTTATAAATTGTATATAACTAATAAGTGGTCGGTATTGAAGGTGAAATGCCAAGATTAGCTAAATTACACTATTTAGTAACAAAATGTATTGTGATGAGCTTGAAAGTGCATCGTGTGAGCGCGGCGGACTAGTACATATTTGTTGTAAACGAACAAGAAACAATGGCTAAGAAAAATATTTTTATAATGTTTAAAAATAAAGTACACAAGTGTTACAAAATTCAAACTTTTTATATTTTCAATATCATGCCTGAGAGAATTTTGTATCTTTAATCCAAATGGTGCTAAACATACCTACATACTAATTTGGAATGAATGGACTTTATGACATTAATTGCACAAGCACCAATTACTTTATACAAAACGCAGATCAAAGTCACAAATTAGTTTTTTTAACTTAATATAATAAATAACCATTCAAAAAGGTAAATATAACATTGAAGTTTCAATCATAGTTATGTACCACACGTCATTTCATTGTCTTTCATTTGAAGGGCAAGCGTCTCGGATAAATTATTAAAATCAAATTTTCTTACCTCATATTTAGGCAAATACCGTGAAGACCCCTTAACATGTCTCTTCCTCACAAAAAAGAGAAGGTCGTCGCAGTCAATAGCTTGTTCTTCTTGGAACAGGAAATGCCTGACAAACAAGTCTGTCCAGTATGTAGTTCCTTGCAGCACCACAAAGCCCGACTCTGCCAACATTGTATCCATTTGTTTCTCATGCTGTCATGTACATTACTAGTGTGTAATATATCCTAGAATATGCTCATCTTAAATGGGAGGAACAAAGTGCCTTCGAACTGTAACTTAATGTAACTCTATGCAACAAAGTACACTATAATTAAATGTTATTTAGACTTACTATTATATTTATATATGTGTACATTTTGTTTATTGACAATGTAAGTTGTTTTCTAACCATTTTAAATGTAAAATTTTATTACTATATTTAATTTCCAAATGGTAGACTGTAGTTGCATCTCCTAACATTATTTGTTATATTCTTGTTGAGGTTGTCATTTGTTTGTTATGTGTATGTCTTGCCATCTCGCTGTGCCCCATGCTGTATTGTTCTTTGTAAATAGCTAACAATGGCAAAGTCTTTACCCTATGTAACAATCAAATTAGATGCTTTGAATGTTTGAATAACTAAACACAACAGAATAATAAGTTAGTTTTATAATTGTTTGTTTGTGAAGAGATATTTAACTAATGGAAATTAGACTAAGATAATAATTTATTGTGTTTACAATTTTCAATGTGTTATCTACCATGCAGCAGAAATATTTTGTTCAAATGTGTCTACATGTGTTTATTCTTTAAATGTTAAAAAAATTATATAAACAAAAGGACAAGACTCTGGCAGACTGAAAAACCAACTAATTTATTTATATTAATAAACACAGTAAGATTACTTTTACCTGTATCATAATTCCAACCATACTATGTAAATAATTGGTTTATTTTATTTGACAAGATACAGTTTTTGTTATTTAAATATTTCTAAATATCACAAACTTCCTAACAAAATATTTTTATAATGTACAGTAATTACTTAGTTACAAGTTGGGCTGACTTCAAAATGTATACATTTACATAACTTTAAAAATTATAGGCCTCAAGGCAATAAATTTATAATCTGATCAGATTCAGATGGTTCATATTTAGGTAGCAGACTCTCTATTTAATTGATGCCACAAAACCGCTACATGCTGCCAAGATGACATTTTCCTGCATCAACTTAGTTAACTATTTTGATATTATTTAAAAAGGTAGATAATACTACTACAAAACTCATCCAGTTAGTTTCCAAGAGCTTTGTGTCAGTACAATACATTACAGCAGAGTGTCTAATGTGACACATGTTATGTATAGTTATCATTGTTATATTATTTTATAATGAAAGGTAATGAATACTTGAAAGCACATTCCGAATGATGCATGATATAATTTTAAGTAAAAGAACCTGTACCAGGTCATATGATCATGAAATTCTTTGTTTTTATTATTGGAGTTGAATTTTAACAAAGGTTCAAAATATTAAAGGAAATGTGAATCTTTCTAACAACAATTATAAGAAAGTTTATAAAACAAGCAAAGTTCTAGATGATATATAAAAATAATTATTTAAAAATATGTATTCTACCATTGCTGTTGTAAAATAATTAATTAATAAATGTTTTTTTTTCTATAATTGTTTAAGCTTTTTTTATACCTCATTTCACTTTCCTGTCCTTCGGCATATACATACACAGTTATTCTATAATTCTCAGAAAACACATAGCATTATGTGTAGCCAATGATGATCATATTTAAAAAGGAATTAAATGCTAATTAACATCATAAATATATTGCAATTATCATATGAGTGTGCACACTCATATATTAATTGTTGTCTACCTTTGATCTATCCACATTCAATCTATCCTTCTTGCTTACATATCATCTATATCCTGACACACCTTACCAGACTAAACTTCCCTCGGTGATGGCATTCAGATTAACTCTACTACTCATTTGTAACCACACTGACATCTTTAATAAGATTTTTTTATGTAATAACAAATACAACAATTTATTTACATATTTGAGTTAGTAATAATGTCCAATAAAATTAAGTCAATGGAATCTGCAATTGTAATAGGAAACTATGTAGTTCTAGAATTATTTATTAATCTGTTAGCTGATTTAAAGATTTTACAAATACAGATAATTTTCAAAAGAATATGCAAACTGGCTGTCATGTATAACATGTTAATCTTACTAATGTGAAAGTTGAGATGGATGGATGGATGTTTGTTAGAGTTTGTAACCAAAATGGCTAAACAAATTTCAATGTAATTTGGCATAGATGTAGAGGATAGTTTGGAAGTACACATACACTATTCAACTATTCACTTTTGTTTTTTTTTAATTCCACACAGACAGAGTCTTGGGAGAAAGCTAATGTTAACTAATTGTTCAATAAAAAACCACAGCTAAAGACTGTTTACGTTTGCACTCAATTTAATTATAGCTTTGCAAGTATGCAGTAGTAGCTAAAGCATGACTAACTGAGTGAAATGTCCAGCGGCAATACCTCTGATATGTCAAGTTACTATTATCACTTCAAGCAATAACATAGTTTTAAATATTTTATCCTTCGTGGAGAGAAAATGAATTATCATGAGTATTAAAATAATTGAGTTAGTAGTAAAAGGAGCTATGGATTTTACAACTCCACAACTAGGGCAAACTGTGAGTGAGAGCTGGCTGTAGATTACTCCAGCCAACCCAGCTTGAAAGAACCCTAGCAACCCTCTTATATTACTGTTGAATGCATGAACTTGGTAAACCAAGATACCTAACCCTACAGGTTTTGGCCTAGCTACAGCTAGACACTGCAGGGCAGTGTTGTATAAAGTTGTTAAGAAAGTAAAAAAAATACTTGAAAAATAATGCACTATACTCACAACAAAAAATTCTCTACCAATCAAACTCATAGGTATATTTTACATGGCCTCACTACACAAACATGCTTAAATTACTTTGAAATCATCAATAACCTAGATCCCTTTAAAATAGGCGCTATTTTTGAATACAGTGCCATGAGGCCCATAACCTATAAACTAGTGCATTCCTCCAGATTGTGCTGTGTAACTTAAAATCTAAAGGCAATTTATAGTGTTTCATTTGTTTTTTTTATTTATGTAAAAATCGATAGAGTAAAAATATCCAAACTCACCATCCTTCATGAGCTGCCGCATCTCTTTTGTTCTCTGAAAATTAATTTCTTCGAGCAGTTGCTCCAACATAGTTGCATCTTGCAAATACGTAGACCCCCCTAAAGCCATTACTATACTAATAACAACAAAACCCCAACTAAAACAACACACAAACACCTCATATGTCAACACAACTATAGTAACTACGGGCAAATGCACATAATTTCACCAATACTGAACTACAAATCTAACTAAAAGGCTTCAATGATAAGAGTACACTCCAAATTTAAAGAGTATAATTGATAAAACTTTTCACCGAAACTTATTCTAAATTACTTACTACGACTACATAAAATGGTATAGGTATCTTGAATATTGGAGTAGATATTGACTTCTAAATGACAGCTTTTGCTTTGTTTCGAATCGATGTGCGGTTCAGACCTAGCCAGTACAGTTGGAGTTTAGCATGGAAGTGGTTGGATTTATAGGACTCTTTGTCGACTCGCACAGTGTGAAAGCTAACTGGTGGAACGTTCTACTTTTTTTTGGACAGTCAGCCATTCCGCTTCATATGGCTTAGCGTTTTGTGGTTTTTAAACTCTCAAGTTTTTTACGATTTTTAAATAGGAATGTTTTCTGAAGGGCCGTTTTGACTAGCGTGATTACCAGCTTACAACACGTCTCTATGCATCACGATGTTTTCCTTCACCGTAAGAACGTCGGGTAAAATGAAACAGATAAAATTCCGAAATCGAAAATCACACTTGTACATGTGATTTGGATTCATATCCTAGGACCTGTAGAATAGAATTGCTAAAACTCTCGAGTCACCAACGCTCTAATACCGTAATAATTGTGCCATTAAAAAGCACTCCGATGCCTGCTATCACTAACACTGTAGTCTTCCCGACCCCAAGGTTATTTTACCAGGTTATTGGACTGGCATAACATGAACAATCTACGCCAGTACAGTCCCTACCACGCCTACGTACTGACCGACTGTACTGGCCAAGTGTGATGTTACCGATAGTTTGACAGAACTAACCGAGATATAGTCCTACAAGATTCTTTTAGCAGCCGGCAAACTTTATGAAATAAAAAGTGACATTTAATGTCAGGGCCATTTAGTGACATAGCTCATCAGTTCACTTCGCCACTTTACTTTACGTATAACGCCCGGCAAACTTCTTGAACAAAAAGCGGCGTAGTGGGGGAAGTTTCGCGCACGTACACTTTTAGACAAAATAATTGACCTATTTTAAGTATTAGTATTAACTAGGAATGAAAAAATTCAATTTTAAATTTTAAGAACACGACAGACATGAATAAATTGTGCAATTTCTTTACATGATTTTTGTTTCATGAAACAATGATATGCTATTTTCCTGGCTTGTCTTTTTAGAACAATGTTACTTTTTCGTGACATACTCAACACAAAAAGTCAAAACAATAACAATCAAATAAAACTTAACAATAATAAACAAATGAGACTCAAGAATAACAACAATAGAAAAAAATTATAAACAATTATTACCGAAAATAAGTAACAGCGAAATTGGCCCAATGAAATTGGAGATAAGTGTATTCGGGAATAAACGGAACATGGGGAAAGAAGCGGAACGCAAAGGCCGACTGATTAACCAATAGCAAGAGAGCGTGCGCGCGCATCCCCTCCTTGCCCCGCCAAAAAGACCCAAAAATCGACTTCTGCGCAACTAAATGTATTGTTCAAGATGTTTGCCGGGCGTTATATTATGTGTGTTTTTTTAATATTATTCCATAAAAAGAAGTGATGGAAGTGTTTAAAAGAAGGATCAGAGAGGTTTCCTTCAAAGTGGGAGATATATTTATCTTGGAAAAGAAGTAGGGGGTCCAGTAATTACATTTGAAAATGTGAATCTTCTTGTGTCTGTTGTAACGAAAATGTGATACCATTATTTAACTCAAGAAATTCCCTATTCTCAAGAGGTCGCGTGTATAATATGATTAATATAATTTCAAAAAGTTGTTAAACAATAATTGAGCTATAAATTTTTCTGATAGTTGTTTTATTACCTATTCATTTCAAACTGCAGAGACCGAACCCTTAGTTGTAAGTTGTTTTTTGCAACTGGAAGTATTTCCTTCATGACAAAATAAACTCAGAGTACTCAGAAATATAACAAGAAACTGGCTGTCTGATGATTTTAAACCGCATCGTTTCGTTCAAACCACGGGGCATACCACAGAGTTTGTACTGTGCATTAATTGTTAACAACAAACAATCATTAAGATTTCTGCTATTCTGTAGATGAGCGCTAAGTAAGGCCATTTCTATTAAGTTAAGACTATTCTTTCCCTAACTGTCTCAAGAGAGTGTAAAAGTTTGCTACAAAGATTCTTTAACTATTGGGTCTTCTAACCGATAAACGAAGTCTGGGGCTTTTCCTAGTTACATTGTAAGGTACAAGTACTTCCTTTACAATTTGCGTTTTCGTTTTCAAAAGGAAAGAATTTCCCTTTAATGCGGACATATATGCGGACCTTGCTGGTATCCCCAAAAGCTCAAAGGCTGTCAATGTCAAAAAGGTGCCACAAGAGCCTTGCGGGACTATATTGTTTAAGTCTCATTTTTTTAATGTCATTCGAATCAAATAATAAATTTTAATTGACATTGACATTTTCACAATGGAAAATTACAAAAACAGGGAATCGCACGCCTTAAATCTAAAAATGCTTAAATAAAGGAATATCACAATGAAGATCTTTCAACACTCAATTTATGAATTCCGAAGAGTAAAGTATTTATATCTAAATTAAACTTGTTAACCATGTTTCGGAGTCCTAGATCATTTCATCGGTTGCTGCGTCTAGTGATGGGAACGACTCGGATTCTGAGTGTTCCAATGAGACGAAGTATTTCTTGCAACGCTGCAGAAAAGATATATTTAACATCCTACAACACACAGCTCCGGAAAATCCTGGGAACAGCCTCCTTGGGCTTGGCAATATTAGCCGCTGACTATGTTTTTAACGGTATTCTTTTATACTTGTATTTCTTTCTTTTGTTAAGTAACAATTTAGCACAAGAATATTTTTTTTATAGGCTCCACACCATACATTGCACATATTAAGGAAAGATTATAAAAACACACCTTACTTGTATTGTGAAGTGGTTTTCATTATTTTATTTCTTAGGTTTAGCCAAATTATAGTCCTCATCTACTTCCTGTACTACTTTTAATAAGTAGAGAAAAGTGGATTTGTTAAGGGTAATATGACATATAGGAAGGAGGATATCTCTGCCTACTAAAAATGGGTATTGCGGATGCCCATGAGCTGAACTCACTTTGCTATTTAAGAGAAATCAAGAATCAAGAGGTCCTACTTGCGACCTGCTGCTGTATAACAATCTGGGTTATCAGTTGTGACATTTAGAGCCAATTGTTGCTGCGTAGTGCAGCTGTGCCACACCCCAACTTTACTAACACACACACACACACAGTATGTTGGCTCACATTTGATCTTAATTTTTTTAATAACAAAATTCACTTTTTAGGCATACACTTTTGACTTACAAACTTTTAATTCATCTGTTTCATTTATATGTACCTTCATCTTATCAAATTATTTTGTTTTAGAGAAAAGGTTCTTCAAAGCTGCTCAAACTGGCAATGTGCAGGAACTTCTAAAGTATGTGATTGACTTTTTATTTGTTTTGTGGTCAACAGTTGTGAGCAGTATGCATTGAACAGAGTCAGTGAGCACACATTTTATAGTAAAGTAGGCAACAGTTAAATTAATTTTATTGCCTACTTCAAAATCCAAATCTTGTTGAGATTGCTGGTGAGGTCAGACATTGGTACAAACTCTTTGATTATTCAAAGTTAAAGTGTACTGTGTCAGCCTTCAGTAGACATAAAGCCAGGAGATGATGACTGTCAGGCTTTATTTAAGCATTCCCAAGGCCCTCACCTTTTAACTTAATATTTTTTGCTTTAAATATTGCAGAAACTGATCTGTCAGAACTTAAAACCTTATCTTAAAAGCTTACGAGAAGGCTTTTTTTCGGATATAAAACACCATGTTTGTAACATTATCATTACGCTATTGCGCGACAGGACGTGTGACCTTTCCTAACCACAATCGCCATCATCGTCAGTCTCAGGCCTCAGGCTGTCCTTACCATATGGATCAGTAATTATAGACAGCTGG